TGCTTCATGCATAACAAATTCTATGTCGTGGCATGAAAATGCATTAACATTTTTGAATCTTCACTTATGTTATTTTCTCTATGTAAAATGGTCTACCATAGTACAATTTCTCCAGTTGAAAAACACCCATTATGGTCAAGTTCAAATGTACTTTTACTGGAAGATCTTTCCAGTCCTTCTACAGATACTACTCCATTAGCTGGACTTAATCTCTTTCTTCCCTGGGCACTGAGAATGTTATATTGGTTTTCTACTATGGCATCTAACATAGTACATTTAGTTATATTTTTTAGTGTCTCCCCTCCCATATTGCAAGAGTGGTAGAGTCAGTGCCTGCCTCTTATATATACATATATATTTTTTATCTTGACTACCTAGCACCATACCAAGTACCTAAGTGCTTTTAAGCTTACTGTTGAAACAATGATTGATTGCATAAATGAATGAATGAGAAATTGGTCCTCAATAAATATTGCTATCCAGTAGTAAAATTATATTACAAATGTTTCAATAAAATCTTCTGATGTTTACTATAAATATCATGAAGAATTACAATAGTTTTTAAAGTCACATATTGTGTGATTAAGAGAAAAATAATTTCAAAATGACAAGATTATCCTCTTTGTGAGCCAGAATAGTAAATGAGTTCTTTCAAATAAGTTCTAGTAGGGTACAGTGACTATAGTTAACAATAGTTAAAGAAGTTAGAGGATAGGATTTTGAATATTCCCAACACTAAGAAATGATAAATGTTTGAAATGATAGATGTGCTAATTACCCTGATTTGATCATTACACACGGTATTCAGGTATTGAAATATTACAGTGTACCCTATAAATAGGTATACTTATTATCTGTCAATTAAAAATAATAAAAATTTAGCAGACCTATAAACATAAATGAGAACTGTATCAAAAATGAAAAGAGGAGAACATGTCACTTCTATTTGGCTGTGATAGCTGTAAGCTCACTAATACATCGCTTTTCATAATCAGAGGAAAGAAAATCAAAATGCTTACCCAGGGCATAATGACTAATGCTGCAGGCTTATTTGCTTCTACTGGTGGACAAAATATGTTTCTAGCAGAGAACAAAGTGGAAAATTTCCTCAGAGCATCATTCCATTTAGAATTTCACTTGGTTCTTGACTAAGTTAAAAAAAAAATACTCAAATACTCAAGAAATAATCAAGGTAGCATAATAATATCCATTTACTTAGTAACCTATATTTTAAAATTACTTCCTTGTGTCAGTCTGATGCCTTTAGGGAGGAAGGATTGTAACTGTTTTTAGTTTTGTACACAACTCTGCATGCAAAACGTCATAGGAATGTATTGTCACATTTCAGCTCCATGTGCCATCACATTGTTTGGCACTCAGTGATTTTATTTATCTAGGATTTAATTAGAGATGTTGGTTTGGCATGTAATCATTGATATAATTGCTCTCTAAAGAAGCATGTCATTTACATGATATTTGAATTTTTCAGTTGAATAATATTAACTCATTTTGCCTTAAAAGGAAGTGTTAAATTACTTGGATCTAATTAATTTACTTCCTCATTTATGTCCATGGATTTCTGTTTTTTTCTATTTCCAATAAATAAATTTTTTCAATATTTTTAAATCTACTCAGTCCTGAATATTTTTTCCATGCATGTTCATTTTTTAAAAAAGCTAAAGAAATGAGAGGTGTCAAAGGTAACTTCAGTTGATCTCACAGGCATACTAGGAGTATGGGACTTCTAATTATAAATAACTCAAGTAACCCAAACACCCAGTGTATTGATAAAACTCCTCCTAAATTATATTCCAGAAAATGGAAAGCAAGTGCCCAAACCTTTGATTGTGTCAGATATTCAGCTGTGAATAAAATAAAAATCGAAGTAAACTTTGCTAAAAACAGACACGCAACATCATTCCAACCACGTATCTCAGAAACAGCCTGTCATGAGAATGCTGTTGGACTTGCAATGCCTCAAAACAATGTTCAAGCAGATAGATCAGTTGGAAGCTCTTCATTACAGCATCTGTTCTGTGTTTATAGCTACACATGCAGACTGCTGAACACCCTCAGTGTACCATAAATGTAGGAATTACACATCCAGAATAGCAATAAACTCATTGGGTGATGTGTTCTCTAGAGTTTTTAGCCCCTTTGCTTCAGTTGGCAAAACTCTAGCAGATTTTTGCTGCTGTAAAAATATTAGATTGTTTGTGGTTTTTGTAACTTTGGAGACAAACTAGGAAAATATAAAATGGCAATGAAAAGGTAAAAACATAAGCATTGAGATTCTTTTTTATATGCTAAAATTACAGTCTCACATAGTTACAACAGGAGCAACAGGCAAATAAATAAGAAAAATGAGTAAACATATGATTGTTTTCCATAGAAGGTTAGCCTCAAATACTCTCTCCGGGTCAGTTCATTTGCTTGGTGCATATTGGAGTAGGTATAAGTTGTACTCAGAAAGCTGCAGGTTATAATTTTTAATTAGAAATATATCTCCTATTAAACAAATTTAATAATGCTTGATAAATTACAGCTAATAGTTCAACAATTTACTGATGAAAGCAGTACTTCCTAGACAACCAATCCAGTTAATTTAGATCATGCTGATTTTTCTCTCAAAAGCAAGATCCCACATGAAATTAATTTCTAAATTTCTAATAACGAAGGGAATGTTCTCAGTTTCTAAGGAAAGTGGTTCCAGGTGTGGGAAGGTAATCTCTTGCAGCAATGCCTGGCCATGAGAGAAATGCTCAGCATTGTTAATGTGACATCAGATAGCTCCAACTCATCTCTGCAGCACTGCATACTCTTCATTAGTCACTGTTCTCTTAAACAGGTGCCCATATCTGTCTGTACATAGAATCACTGGGAGAGCTTTCAAAAATGCATATGCCTGGGAACCAACACAAGATAACTTAATTATGTAGGTTTTCTCTTTACCTTAAATGGTTAGAAGAACAACTTTCAAAAATGACCCATACCCAAAAATTAGAAGAAAGCTTCTGAAGAACCATAATAAAGGCAAGGTAGTTGGAAACACGGAGTGGAATAATGGTGGATGTTGTAATGGAACCCTCAGAAAACCATAGGTGATGCAGTAAAGTGAATCTTTTAATCCTTGTGAACACTCCAGTTTAAGGGATGCCTTCTTTCTTTTCATTTTCTTTCCTCTTATTTCTTACCTCTTAATGGAAATTGTTAGTGATGCCATTTTACATCTAGACTAATTGTTTATTTTTTTCTTCCATTTCGTGGCACTGTTGGTTTGCTTTCATGCTCCCTGTTAACTCCCTGCCAGGAGTTTGCTACTGAGGGCAGTTTGGCTAGAATAAAAAAACATGGTAAGAGAAAAAAAAAAAAAAAAAAGGCTAACCAAATTTTATGATCAACATCTTATAACGAACTTAAAAATTGATATACCAAGAAGTAAGCATACATTATTAGCTTCATCCTAGTTTTGAAAAAATTAGGGATGTCTTTACTTGAAATCCATAAAATGGATTTCAAAGATATGTTTTCCCAAAGACTCCCTTGTTAGATTCTCAAGGTACATAAATACTGCAAAAGATGCCCATGTTGCTGCTTGGAAAGTAAAGATACAAAACCAAGAAACTTAAAGAATGTAAAATTTTTGGCATGTGTTAAAGTGATAAGTTTCATACCAGTTAAGACCTAGACAAAGAATAACTAAGGGGAAATACATTGAAAAGTTACAGAAATTCTACTATCACATTTGGGATTAAGAAAATTTTAATAATAATCATGATAATGTACACATTGTTTAATAATTATTTTATCCATCTGAATCTTTCAGCAGTAACATTATTTCCCCTCATTTTGTAGGTGAGAAAAGTAGTTTGCTGTAAATTTTTATAATTTGTATTTATTTATTATTATAATTTTCTTAATCCCTTTTTACTTTTAAAAGATTGCTTGAAAGAGTAAAATTAATGCTGCCAGTGGAGAAAATGACTTAATTTTTGGATAAGTCGGTTACCTTTAGAACTTCAAGCATCCCTGCTATTTTTGAAATAAAAATCATTACATGAAATTTATTTTCATGGGTCACAGAAAGAGGTGACGTGCAAATTTTAACATATGCTTCTTCTCAAAATAGAAAAAGGATAGGAAAGTGCTTATCATACGAACAACTCAGAAGAATTATAGAAATAGAATTTATCTGGACTTTGAATAGAATTCATCGGGACTTTAGTGTTCACACAAAGTCTCAAGATTTGGGCTTATCACCTGGTTCCCTTTTTTTTTTTTTTTTTTTTTTTTGGTGCTTTATGACTAAGAAACTATTCTGATCATGACATTGCAGTAGCAGAGATGACCCAATGTATGTATAACATCGTGGAACATGTTTATTACAATATACATTCAAGTTCAATAAATAAGAGAGATATGATAAGATAGTTGCTTGCAGGATCTTACTTTAGGACATACTTGGTGCTCAGTAGTGATCAAATTTTGACATGGCAATTTCTCCAGGTGCTAGGTTTTCCTCCACCCCAGTTTAGAAGTGGTGTGATTCCAGAATGATAAAAAAAAAAAAAAAAAAGAAAAACAGAAGCTACCTTCACCATGGTCAGAACCAGACATTATAATTAGTGCTTGCCTCTCTGACCCAGCCTCCAGGGGCACAATGATGCTCCATAGGAGGACCCATGCAAAAGGGAAAGTTACTGGCAGAACCGAAGCTTCCGCTTCTAGGCAAGAATAAGGATTGTTTCCTGCTCCTGTTCTTTCAAAGAAATGAAAACAGAGAAGAGCCTCAGTTCTGCATTCTTACTGCAACAGAATGTGAGATTTAAGAAAGGGAGAAAAGATTAAGAAAGGAAGAGAAAGACACTGGAGAAATGGAAGAGACAACTCAGAAAACTAGAGGAAGATAGGAGAGGGGGAGAGAGAGAGAGAGAGAGAGAGAGAAAGCGAGACAGAAAAAGGAAGAGAGAAGAGAGATAAACCCAGGTCAGATAACTCACTTGGCATTCCCTGTCCCTGCCTTCTTTCTTCGGAAGATGTTGAGGAAAGTGTTGGAGCGGCAGGGCAGCTTGCCATCGCCAACATGCATGCGGACAACATCAGAGGTGGTGAAGGCACTGCGGACATTCCTCTCAGGCTTGGCAATAATGATGTACATCTTGGGAGTGAACATGCACCCCAGAGCCACTGTTACACTGAGACTCACTGCAAAGCAAGTTGTGATGATCTTGTAGTTGCTCCCAAAGTAAATGGGCACAAAAGCTAGCCAGATGATACAGGTGGTGTACATGGTGAAGGCGATATATTTGGCCTCATTGAAGTTGGCGGGCACGTTGCGGGTCTTGAAGGCATAGTAGGTACAGCTCATGATGAGCAGTCCATTGTAGCCCAAAGGTGCCACCACACCCAGGTTGCTGGTATTGCAGATAAGGTAGACTTCCTTGATACTTGGGTAGGATAGAATGGGCATAGGGGGCTCCATGATGATCAGGGTTACCACCAGGGTAAGTTGCACACTAATCAGAATTGAGGCAATGATCACCTGAGCCCAGGCACTCATGAACCTGGGCTTCCGGGTGCAGATCTTCTTCTTGCTGCCAGCCAGGATGCGTGCAATGCGATTGGTTTTAGTCACTAAAGCAGAGTAGCACATCGCAGAGGAGAGGCCAACCAAGAGGCGCTGGAGGTAGCAGGAAGTGGTAGTAGGTTTGGCAATGAGAGTGAATGGGCACACATAACCAAGGAAGATGCCAGCTAGAATGATGTAGCAGAGCTCCCGACTGGAGGATTTGACCACTGGTGTGTCCCGGTACAGTACAAAGATTAGGGTGACAAACAAGGTAACAAGGATTCCCAGGCATGAGAAGGCGATGGCTATGATGGATTCGATGTTGCTCCACTCAAGATAGCGGACAGGAATGGGCTCACAGCCTGTGATGAGAAAAATCATTTTAGCATGAATCCAAGGTTTCTGCTAGGAATAACAACATGCATATTAATCACCAGAGACACAGTCATCTTTGCATCCTTCATGATTTATGGCATTTAATGCTTTTTAAAAAATGCTCACTATTACACAAATAAGGATGCATCATTGTCTTACCTGACAATTATATCCCCAAACTTAATCTCATTACAAGCCTAATGTGACATACTTGAACCTATAAAAATGATTTTTTCTTCCAACATCAGCATTATAAATAGATGCCATTCTGTGGATGGGACTCGGTTCTACATGTTCAGAAAAAGAAAACACCCAAATAAAACTTTATTTCCAGTGAAGGTTAAATGATGATTATGGGATAGAATAAATTATTAAGAAATAAACTAACAAAACTTTTCTTTTGATGCAGTCATTGTCTGTAAGCAAGTCCAGCTCATAGACAAGTCGTTTTTGGCCAGCAGAGTGCTTTCAATGTAAATTTCATCGACTTCTTTACAAGAATCTGCATTCTCCTGTTTACTGCATAACTCTATATTACACCTTAAATCTCACTCCTCTACTCATGAATCACGAATGATTTGTATCTGAAACCGGAGGGCCTTTGAGTTAGTAACCTCTAATGAACTTATCCAGGAAGAATGAAATCTCCCCTAACCCATCTCTGGAAAGGAAAGACCAGAATTTGTTTCTAAATGCCTGGCTTATCTTTTCTCTCTAGATGGAGAATAAAATGTATTTTGTATTTCGGGGTGAGAGAAAAATCTGTCAGGCTCTGGGACAACCCCTTCACAGAATTTTGTAATCACAAAATATTTGGTCTGGGCCAATATTTCCCAAATTGTGAGAATAAAATCATTTCCATAAATTTAGGAGAAGACTCATTGTTCTGTAGCCATGGCAACAAGGAACCACCAGAACCAGTGCTAAACCTGTCAGTCAATCAACAATTTGCCTCAGTGAACATGTGTTTGGATGCCAAGCAAGTACTGTCAGCCTTTACTTCTGATAATCACTCAGGCAGGATCAGAATCACTTCAATAAATGAGTGCCAACTAATCAACAGTCTCATATGAGTAATCGTATTGCTACAGGTGATGTCAGCCAGTTCTCAGAGTCTGCAAGGTTTTCAATCCCTAAACTCCACACTTTCTAAAAACTACATATAAAATGAATAGTCTTCTGCTCAGATAAAATGTATCTGCCTAGCATAACTATCCCTTACTATAGTAAGCAATTTGTTTTGCTTTTGTGTTTTTTTTTTTTTTTTTTTTTTGAGATGGGATCTCTGTCGCCCAGGCTGGAGTGCAATGGCACAATCTGAGCTCACTGCAAGCTCCGCCTCCTGGATTCATGCCATTCTTTTGCCTCCACCTCCCAAGTAGCTGGGACTACAGATGCCCGCCACCATGCCCGGCTAATTTTTTGTATTTTTAGTAGAAATGGGGTTTCACTGTGTTAGCCAGGATGGTCTCCATCTCCTGACCTCATGATCTGCCTGCCTTGGCCTCCCAATGTGCTAGGATTACAGGCGTGAGCCACCACACCCAGCCAACTTTTGTGCTTTTTTTAAAAAAAATTATGCATTTAGCTTCAGCATGTTTCATATTTCTAGAGGCTTCACCAAGATAATATTGAAGACCCCTTATTTGATAACATTCCAGGAGATGCTCTGATCAACAGGGTCACTCACTGGATCCCCTCATGCCCACATTCTGTCCTTCCCGCATACTACCATGTGAGTCAGTCTCAATGATTTTCTTGCTCAGGCTAATTTTACTGAGCTCTTGTTGCTGAATTTATGTGGTTATCCTAGGATTTGTGATCATATAGGTCTTTATATAGAAGGCCATTAAACTTAGGTCTTTGGGTAAGGTAATTTCACCGGTATCTTTATATATTAAGTCACATAACCTTTGGTTTTGAAATGCACCATTTGGTAATTAGACATAAGCTTTTTATTATGTCAACAAATATATCACTTTAGAGATACACAATTTGATAAATACTTTTTTCCATATCTGTTTATTCCCTTGCTGTTTCTTTGCTTTTGCTATTATTTAGATACATATACAAAGTCTTATTTTATGGGTCTTTTTTGTTTGTGAGTTTGTTTTGTTTTGAGTCATCTTTTTCTGTTGGCTATATAAGCGATAGTACCTAAACATTAGAGGAAAATGTAAGCCTAAGAAGTGTCCAATCCAAGCTGGCCCTGAGTGCTGTTTGGAGATCCTTTAAATTGATAACCAATTTGTCAAAAGTGGTAGATCACTCAGCCTTAGGTTTCTTAGAATACCTTTACAAGAATACTTCCTGTGTTGTCAACTTATGAAAGATGACTTTATTTTAGTGATTGTGTGTTGCCTTCCTACACTCTATTTGCTTTGGGAATCTAAGACACCATTAGCAAGCACACACTTTTGACAGAACTTAGTGGCCTCTCTTCCTTGTGTATCAGAAATTTGTCTCTGTCTAAATACAAACATTTTTCTGGAAGAACTTATTCTTCCCACATAAAGTCACACATTAATTCTATTTTTTTTCCCCAATACAGGTCAGACCGATGATACATAAATGAGAGATAGATAGATAGATAGATAGATAGATAGATAGATGATGGATAGATAGGAAAATAGATATTTAAAATAACAATGGCCTTATGGGAAGTTTTGCTATGATGAAGTTGATAAATTAAAATATTTAAAAGAAGCTCTAGACAAATTGGGAGATAAAATACCACAGTTAATTGTCAATTTCTTTAGCTGGCATCCTACAAACAAATTTTCCAATTCAAAGATGATTTTTGTCAAGGCTTTGGTAACCTTCTGAACGCTGCCTTCTTTTAATTTCATTCTTTTGCTATGTAACTTTACCTGACTCTCTAAATGAGCTACTCTGTCATCAGAGTTTTTACTGGAAAAGAGTATAACATTTTAAACTTTCTAGAACAGAAGTCAGATCTATAGAAGTTGAATTAAAAAACTGGTATAAAGCCAAATTAAGATCTATAGTTAATAATTTTCCTAAACTTCATGAATACAGAACATAATGCTTGCTATAGAATTTGGAAATTTTATTAGATATTTATTGTCCATACTGCAAGTATGTACCAATTAATTCAATTAGTTGTTAGCCTTTGATGGAGAAAAATGTTTAAATGCAAGAGTAGAAAAGAGAAGATTAAAATAGCCCATCGGTGTAACATTTAAAAAAGAAAAATAGAAAAGGCATTGCATAAGGCACTTTCAGAAGCTTTTCTTTCAATAAATACTCAAAGTTGTAAACTAAATAAAGATGAAAAATAAACTTTAGGAAACTTTCAAATAGTTCTAAAATAGACTCAACAACTAACATAAAAAGGATCATATTCTCTCCCTCTGTAAGGAGGCTTAGATCTCCTGAATTAGTTGAATCAAATGAGGAAAAAACAGTTAAAATGTAAAATTGCCAATCTAGAAAATATCTAATATGTGGCTTGACATTTCCAGATAGAGTTAAAAAGTAAATAACCCAAATCAACATAATTATGGATCTTTCAGTAAACAAACTAAAAGATCTCTGTTCTCTGTGGCTTGGGAGCCTATGGAAGAAAATCTGTAGATATCTCAAGCAGAAGTTTCATTTGAAGAATATTTGTGAAAACTCAGTACATCTCATGAAAAATGAGCAACTTATTCTGGAAGGACAAGTTGGCCAATTAAACAGCAATGGAAAGACATTTTCAAGATAGGTAGAAGATATGTCCTGCTCATGCTTCATTTGTAATTAAATTAATTTGGAAAAAAATGTATGGGACATTGATAAAATTGCAAAAGAAACCTTTGAGCATCTCCAGATGGATTGTATATGGTTGTCCCTCTCTGTGAGTTATTACTAGGTACTAGTTCAAATAGTGTGCTTATTTTATGACTCTGTTTAAGCATTCCCCAGTTGAAAATCCACAATCCTCACAATGGCTAAAATACAGTTAGATTTTTATTTCTTAGCTGAAACATTCTAATGTATAAATCCAGTGATATGATGACATTTTCACTAGAATATTTATTCATGACCTCATCATTCCCAACCCTCTAGAAAAATGAAAGGGAACCTTGATACACTGATGTTCACACCCATTAGTGACTTTAAACTGAAGTTCTGCAAAAGCCTCCAGAAGCAGAAAGAGCATGGAAGTTAACTGCCGACCCAAGGACCTTAAGGCATGCTAATAACCGTATGATGATCTTCTGTGCAAGATCACCATTATAAAATTCTTATATATATCATTCTCTCCTTTGTATATTCTTGCTTATTCAAACTTCTTTCCTTACTGATTTAAAGATATACAAATCTGAGTTCATCTTTACTATTTCTCTTACTACTAAGAGGAATTTATCTGAACCTAGATATTACTAGTGACAATCATCATACTAACTCAATAGTTTAGTTATATCAAGCTATCTTTAGTGGACATCATTTGAGAAATTATATAAAGGTCTTTGCCCATGCCTATGTCCTGAATGGTACTGCTTACGTTTTCTTCTAGGGTTTTTATGGATTTAAGTCTTACATTTAAATCTTTAATTCATCTTGAGTTAATGTTTCTATAAGGTGTAAGGAAGAGGTCCAGTTTCACTTTTCTGCATATGGCTAGCCAGTTTTCCCAGCACCATTTATTAAATAGGGAATCCTTTCCCCATTGCTGGTTTTTGTCAGGTTTGTCAAAGATCAGATGGTTGTAGGTGTATGTGTTATTTCTGAGGCCTCTGTTCTGTTCCATTGGTCAATATCTGTTTTGGTACCAGTATCAAGTTGTTTTGGTTACTGTAGCCTTATTGTATAGTTTGAGGTCAGGGAGTGTGATGCCTCCAGCTTTGTTCCTTTTGCTTGGGATTGTCTTGTCTATACAGGCTCTTTTTTGGTTCCACATGAAATTTAAAGTAGTTTTTTCTAATTCTGTGAAGAAAGTCAATGGTAGTTTGATGGGAATAGCATTGAATCTATACATTTT